CCCCGCCACCCCACCCCACCCCCACCAGAAAAGCAGTACATGCCACTAAGGGTGAAGGACCAAGGCAGGCATCCCTTCGTGGTCAGACACCTCTGAAACATGGGTGAATAATCAGGCAGGCGTCCTCCGCGTGATTAAACACCAAGGGAAGACTGTCTTCCCGAGTCCGTGACTGGCGCCAGAGTTTTGGGTCCATGGATAAAAGGCATCGCCTTTGTCTCTACCAGAAAAGGAAAGGAACTGAAATTAAGAGAAGGGAGAGATTGAAGTGTGGCGCCAAGATTGAAAGGAGAAAGAGGTTGAGGGATAGTGAGAGAGGCTGGAGAAGAGAATAAAAAGAGGGACCTTACGGGATTTAAAATTGTTGAGATGTTCCTTGGGCTGGTGGGTCTGAGGACCCAAGATTGTAGGTGGATCTTTCGCACGGAGCAAAGAGCAGAAGGACGGGGGATTGATCTCCCAAGGGAGGTCCCCTATCCCAGTCACGGCACTAAAATGTCATGCGCGTCCATGTGAAGAGACCACCAAACAGGCTTTGTGTGAGCAATAAAGCTTTTTAATCACCTGGGTGATGGACGGCTGAGTCCAAAAAGAGAGTCAGCCAAGGGAGATAGGGGTGGGGCTGTTTTACAGGATTTGGGTAGGTAAAGGAAAATTACAGTCAAAGGGGGTTGTTCTCTGGCGGGCAGGGGCGGGGGGTCACAAGGTGCTCAGTTGGGGAGCTTTTGAGCCAGGATGAGCCAGGAAAAGGAATTTCACAAGGTAATGTCATCAGTTAAGGCAGGAACCAGCCATCTGGGTGTGTACATGCAGGTCACAGGGGATATGATGGCTTAGCTTTGGCTCGGAAGCCTGACACCCAGTACTGTGCTAAGCACCAGGGATCGAGAGATAAAAGACACATTCCTTCCTTTCACGTTGCCCATATGGTTTTAATGGGGCATTAAAAAAAATGCATGTTAGTCATAATTATTAAGAATCGGACTACTATATATAAAATACAGTGTGTGCACTTTGCTTCAGAAACAGCAACTCTCTTGTCACTTGAGCCATGGTAGAATCTGATTTTGCCATTGCCGGATTACCAAGGAGTGCTCCTAAGGTGGAGGCCGGTTATTTGTATTTGCTCAGTTTCATATCATTGCTTCTCTAGTTGCAAAGTTGCTATTGTTACTAATATTAATCATTCTTTACACCTAATAATGGGCTTGTATTTTTCGAAGTGAATTTCAACATAGGAACTAAGAATTGATTTGTACTATAGAATAAAAAAATACCGTTAGAAAAGATCATGCATGCTGAAATAGGCTGCAAAGGAAGCTGTGAAACCTTTGATGGTTTTAAGGAGAAGGAATTCATGGCTGTTTTGGATGATCATGTTACATCGTGCAGCAGAGATGGTGGAAAACAGGAAAGCAGAGTAATGAGCCAGATCACTACTTTCTATTTCTGTAAATGTAGATGACTAGAGAAATGTGAAGTGTAGAAACTCCCTTACGCATTACAGTCAACTTAGTTTTAGCACAATGGCTGATTGGTCTTCCAATAGTCATTGTTGCCTCGGACTGGACAAAAGAGCAGCCTTTCCTATACTTTTTCTTTAAGTCCTTCATTCCAGCCCATAGCCTAGCACAGGCTCACACCACCCCGCCACTGTAGGAAGTGCCCTAAGTAGTGTTGCATGGAGTCTATTATCATGAAAACTGAGCTCAATCTAGAATAGACTGTGCTGTTCTTCTGTAAAGTTCACAGGTACTTTCTCTTAGATCTCTGCATAAGGATATGCAAGTGACTAGACTTAATCCCAAACCGTAAATTTATCTTGTTTCCTATTAAAGATAAATCATTGGTGAAAAATAATTTGAAATGGTGACAATTTGGAATAATTTCAAAAACTAAAAGAGATTAGTTATACATGAGCATTTGGTGTGTATTTTGCCACATAACATATTTTGTGTATTTCACTAGCAATTCCCTCTCCTCAAAACCACAAAAACATCTAATTACTACTTTTTAAAATAACGTATTTGTGTATGCTGTTTTGTTCTAAATGTAAATCAGTAGTCTCTGGGTATAGAAAAAGTGATAATAATTGTAGTCATATAAATGTTTATGTTATTATACTATGTAATACATTGAGGTATCTCTGAAAGAATAATACATCATAAGACAGTTGTAAATGTTCATATATCTTTATCATGTAATTATTAAAAAATATAATTAAGTTTTTCTATTAATTTTTGTATGTAATTATTACATGAAAATGAACTAAATCAAACTGTAACCCCATATGTGTATTTAGTGTATATGTGTGTATGTATATATGTGTATATATATTCACGTGTATGTACATGTGCATGTATATATGTGTGTATATATATTCATGTGTGTGTATGTATATGTGTATGTATGTGTGTATATATATTCACATGTGTGTATGTATATGTGTATGTATATATGTGTGTATATATATTCACGTGTGTGTATGTATATGTATATGTATGGTGCTTGTGTATATGTATGGTGCTACTCTCTGTGGGTTTAGAGAGTATAGAAAGGAGACTGATAGGCTTCTTAATAGGGTTGTAGTTTCTTGGCCTTTTCAAACACTTTCTGGAACCTTCATGGGTTTAGAAAGCAGAAATTCATCTGGTGAATTCAGATCTACTCACAGTTTATTGGATAGCTTAATACACTGATAATATTTTAATAACAAAAATTGTCCCAAGAAAGTAAAGGAAAACAAAATTGCTTTTTATCTTAAAAGAATAAAGTATTAATGAAAATATATTTGGCTTATTCATTTAATGACTGTTCAAAATCTAAATATTTTCTATCACAGGCCCACAGATGTGACCCTTACTCTGAAAGATCCTCATTATCCTGACCATGATCTTGGAATCATTTTGCTCTCAGTCATCCTTACCCCTAAAGAAGGAGAGTCCAGGGATGTGGTAAGTTCCCCCACAGCCTAGTAGGAGCTCTTTCTTGCTCTCTCTTGTTCGAATGTTGTGAGCCTTTCTTTGGACCCAGAGGTAGTAATGAAGAGAAGCTGCCTATGAAAATATGCCCTGTTCTTTATTTCTGTGAGTATCCTAGGTATTGCTCATTCATGCTTATTGTATCTTTTCAACTCTAATTTCCTGTTCCACCCTCCAGATCAGAACCTCTTGTTGTAAATAAGAAACAGATTTGAATTTTTATTTTAATTTTATTTCTCAATTTCAGACATGTTATATTATAGGCAAATATTAGTATTCATTTGGGGAATACATTTATTAGTGAATTGAATACTTGGAATTCCACGTTAAGGTATCCAGACCCTGCTGTTTTGACTGCATTGTCAGGTGTACCACAACAGAGAAAATGAGGTGAAATTATAACAGAGTTTCTGCTTTCTGGTATTTGTTTACTGAATGATAAGTGAGTACTTTTCATCTTCTTGATGGGCTTCCATATTGATATTACCCATTTTTCAGCACTAGCTGTCTGTACGTCCTTGCACACCATGCTGCTATGAGAAACTGACAAGGGACACAGAGGAGCCAATTACTCCCCCCGAGTTGAAGTGACATTAAAAAATATCAGGCTTGACCCACATCAGTATGCTTACTAGTGTACGTTCTGCCACAACTTGCCAGAGATTATTTATTAGACTCAATGTGCTTTCATGTGCCTGGGAACTACTCTAACTAGCTCTGACTATAACACATTTTAGTAGCAGACATAATTTTTTTAGGCAAGTCGAAATACTCTATTTCAGCAATGTATGTATTGCTGTCCTAAAATAATGCATGATTAAAGTTGGTTATAGATTGTCTGCTGGAAAGGTATTGTTGGCATTTTCCACTAGACTGTAGGTAAATATTGTGAAATTCAACTTCAAATTTGGAAATACTTTAAACTCATTGAAAAATTCACCCTTCCAAGAATTATTTCTCTCCATCCTTTTTAGAAATGTAATGATGACACGTATGTTTATATATAATATTTGCTAAATTGGGTTAAGTATCTGTACTTCATTCACTGAGGAAGAAGTTTCTCTTTTTAGATAAGAATTACCAGATAGTAATACCTAGTGTGAGAACTTAGCTTGGTAAAATTATGTATGTATGTGTGCACATGCACCCTTGTGCAGAGGGGTGGGTGAGAAACAATTTTTACAAAAAGTATTTAGAAATGAAAGCCCGTCATCTTAGAAGTCACTACTTCAGAAGACATTATTTCACCCAGCACAAGCCAAGAAGTATAACCTAGCTGGCTAATCCATACACAGGAATCAATTGTAAATGTTCATTTTGTGTTTTATTCAAATAATTCAATGAGTCTAGTATTCACCAAGAACCTACTTTAAGCCGGTTCCTGTGCTGAACACTTAGGATACAAGAGAACTTAGACTCAGTGGAGAACCCAGTAATCAATTAATCACTGATAGGAACAACTGTTTTAAATGCTGTGAAAAAGAGGTACATACTGCTGAAAGAGCAAATATAGGAAAATTTTTAGTAGCCAGGGGTTAAGGATTCTCGAAGGAAGTCAAATAACACCTGAAATATAACTTTCAAATAACACCTGAAAGTGTAAAACAGGCCTTAATAAAGCAAAAACAAGAAAGAGAGGTGGTATTTAAAGCAGAGGAGACAACACACACAAAGGCCAGGTGACAAGAGGAACCATGTTGCATTTCAAGAATTGAAAAACCACTGGAGTTTAGAGAAGGTGGAAGCAAAGACAGTGTGGGTGATCAGAGTGCATAACGACACTGGGGTGGAAGGACGATGCCCAGACTGTGTAGAACTCATTGACCATGTTAAGTTTTGGGTCTTTCCCCAAAAAACTGTGGGGATCCATTGAAAGATCTGTGAATCGAAAGCAGTGGAATCGTATTTGCCTTTTGAAAATCTTTGTGGCTGCATTGTAGAAAATATATTGAAGGGGTAAGAATGGATACCTGGAGACCAATTAGGAGGCCATGGCGAAAATCCAGGTGAAAGATGATGGAACTTTGGATTAGAACTGTCAGAGGTAGAGATGGAGGGAAATTGGCAGGTTTACCTATAGGAGGTAAAAATCAAGAAGACTTGATGATAGAATATTCTTGTGCTGGGGTTCTTTGTTATTTTAATGAAGGACAGCACTTCATAAATCAAGATACCTAAGTGTCTGAGATCCTGTGTAGTCCCAGACCATCTAAACTTGCAATATTCCTGGAGATTGGAATGATATAGCAGCGATTGTGGTGATTTGGGTGATGTGATAATGTACAGTCAACTGAATTTTTACATTAAAGGGATGTTTATTAAACACTCTAACATCAAACTGAGGGTTTGAGGGAGCAAGTTAATATCAGGAGACCCTACTATGAAGCTGCTGAGTTGTTCTAAATTACACAGAAATATATGTCAACAAAGGCAAAGTAGTTTCCAACATTATTTTTTCTTCAACAATCCTTCAAAAATCCCTCAATCTCCAGGGTTGTTCAAATTTATTTTTTAAATATAAAAATTATTTTAAAATATTACAGTGCCTGGGAGCTGATCATCAGTAAGTTATCAAACACAAATAAAGAAGAAAATAGGTGGGTTACATGAAAGTAGTTATACATCAAAAATATGGTTTTCTTCACCTTCTTTTCCTCCTTTTCCTTTCTCTTCATCATATCTCTTCAGCCACATTCACCCTTAACACAAAAAGTTCCTTCTGAAATCCTCATGCTATTTTCTTGGCTCAAATCCATTTGACTACCCCAGATTTTTTGGAAGAAATCTTTCCAAAGGTATTTTTCATCTCAGAAAGTTTTTTTGCATTCATTGCCTTACTTCATGCCCTCTTCTTTCAAAGTTCCAGAGAGCACATGCAGTGCTCTCTGCTGCATTAAGAGAGAAATGGTGTCTTCTCTCCTTCTCTCCTGTTATTGACTCTCTTATGGCTTCTTTCTTCATCAGAGAAGCAAGTGGCTCAACCAGGGCTTAGAAAAGACACAGTGATCAAGTCTGTTCAGAGCCAGCCTCTGGCTGGTGAACATCCTTGTACTTTCCGTCCTGACCTCGGTCACCCCTGAGGAAGCAGAGAGAAGGGTAACCAGTGTGGTTATCCTGGCTCATCCTCGTGGGTACAATCAATAGCTGAGGCATGGGCTTGGTTGTATAGAAGCAAGCAGGGCCAGAGGAGAGGGGAGAAAGGAGGGAGGGGAGAAAGATTCCCCCTTGGAGATTCTACTGGGATTCAGTATCCTGGCTATTGGGATGTCCTAAATTTGAACCTGGGTTTGTAAATATATGCTCTACGTTATGAAAATGCCCCAAAATACATATAAATTGGCTTTTCTTTTGTGTTTGTCCTACATTGCAGTTCTATAACTATTTTATTAAGCTCTCTAAAACTGATTCTTATATTTAGCAACACTGGTTGTTAGGTTTTGAAACTCTGAATAAGAACCATTTGTAGGCATCTGTATAAAACAAAATACTTATTGATCATCTACTAAGCATTATACTAGGCTTTATAACACCCTCTTTCTTCTTCTTCTAAGTTTTCAGTGACTTGTGGCTATTTCTCTAATTAAATGGAAACTTCTGGTGAGAAATTTTAAGGCTCTCCAACAAGCAATGTATGTTCCCTCACTGTAACTTCTGTCCCAGCCATACAAATTCCTTCACGGTTCACCTTCTCTCAAGTCCAGGCTTTCTTCAGCGTTACCTGTGTACCTAAAATATGCCTATGTATAGTTCACCTTGCCTCTATCCTACATCCTATCACTCATATGAGGGGAATTATATATATATAATACATAAAGTCTTCCTTATGATGACTTCAAAAGACCAAGTGAGGGTATATGTTTTTTTTCTTACCTCAATATTCAAATCCCTGAGGTTGTCACAAACAATATCAACTCATGATTAAATAATGATTTAATTTTCTTTTGTAAGTTCTCAAAATTAGTATATTAATGATAATCTGCTTGAAATCAAGCCTTATTGGTCTTCCCACAGAATTCTAATGATTGACAATAAATTATAAACCCATCACTGTATTTTCTTCATTCTGTAACATGTCAAATATCAGCTTAGTAATTTTTCTGGGCTACATTTGAAGTTTCTTGGTTAAAAATCACAGATCCAATGTATCTTCTAGTTAAATTTTCAGATATCTAAAAGACATAACATACTGCAGCTGTAAAAATGGCATGCTAAACTTTCACAAATTATTCAGAAACAAATTTTATTTAGAGAAATTTAAGCTAAAAATGCAACAAACCAGAAATCAGTTACTGTATGCTTCACAATCCCTAGAAAACGAGAATTATGTAAGAAAGGAATAAAGGCAAATTTTACATTGACCCTCACAGAGTAAAATTACAAGAGTTCTGTTCTCTTTGATTACTAGCTCAGAAATAATTTATTTCAGGCTTTTAGCACTGAAGATGTTAGTTCAAAAACCACATGTTTATTCGTATGCCTGTATTGATAAAACTTTGCTAAACATTTTATATGTATTAAAAATGGAGAATGAAAGAGATGTGTTTCAAGAGCCTTTTACAGATAAATCCTAACGATCAAATAGGAAATAGAACATTAATGTGAATAAAATGCTATGCCAAGGTAGGAAGAAATGAGTAACTGGAAGTACAGAGTCCTTAGCATTACAAAGTGGTAAGATTTCTAAAACAGTCATCTTGTGAGTTTTTTATGCACTGTTAATAGTAACAATACGTTCCATGAATTATGCAGTTGGGATGATTTCTCCTTGTGTGAATTGCCAGCTCTAGAAATCAGTAAAAGTGAAGAACGAGTTGAAAAACCTATCAGCCTACTGAATCTACTAAAGCCTCTAAAATATTCAATGTCTAATTGCAGCAATTTGTATTTCATAGGTGCCATATCAAAATCTTCTCCATTGAGGTCATGATTGAGTCTTTTAAAAAAATTCCCAGATGTGAACAGATATATATGTATATACATTTTAAGTCTCCAGCATTGTGTGTACAAGAAACCAAAACCTCCTTGGGGGGCATGCTGATGAGTTGCATGGCACAATTGTCATTTCTGTTTTGATTGCATGTCCTATTTTTGAACCTGTAAAAGTGTGTAGTGCATATATGTGTGTCCTATATATGGCAATTTGTCTGATAGTGTGTTTGAGTTCTTTCTGGCTCTTTTTCTAGCAGAGTTCAATCCACAGCTTTCTTCATTGGAGAATTTGTGAAATAAAAGTGAGTTAATTTGTGTTACACACTCTCTTAAATAACCTAGACCTACAAATTGCTTGCCTAAGGCTAAAAAATAGAAAATTCAAAGAAACATATGAATGACCTTAGTTGGCCTTTGATGAGTTAAAAAAAAAAAAAAACAAAAACAAAACTTCTTTGTCTTGGATTAGTTTTGATATTCTTCAGAATTATTACACAGCCAACATTTGAAGAAATATCTACCTACAAAAAGTTGAATATATGTATGCTTTATAAGATGTATGTTACTATTGTATCTAATTATTCTGTGATTTTTTATATGTACAGTAGTTATATAATTGCCTAAAAAGTCACTTCAACAAAAGATAAAAATTAAAAGATGGATTGAGATTGTGGAGTCTTTTAAAAACGATTCCTTCTGCAGCCCTATCACAAGCCATATTTTTATGCTACTTCATTCCTTTTACTGGCTTCAAGGAAGTTGAGCTGCTAATGAAGAATTTGAATTGTACTATAATAATATCAGGCAATAATCCTTTCAAAAATTAATTCATATGTTTCTCAGCTGAAGTTAAGATCATAGAGCAAAAAATAAATCTTATTTTTCTATAATTTGCTTCATCTTCTATTTTTAACAATCCCCAATCTTCCTTCTCTAACATGTCTCACAGATAGCGAGAAAACATTATTAATAGTTTATCTATTAAATTAATTTTCTTTTTAACTTTTGTACTGTTTTAGTTTTATTGAATTGACCTTAACCCAACCACCTAAAAGAAAAAGGGACTTAGAATTGAGATACTTAAACCCATTGCTTTGCTAGTAGATTTGGCTCAAGAGGCAGAAATGTTATAAAATCTAGGGTCATTTTGAGAGTCACTGGGTATAGTAACAGAACTTTAGATACTGAATTAGGAAAATAATGAATGGGTTCTCATAACTGCTAAATCTTTCCTATTTATACTTAGGGTAATCACTGACTTTTTATTGTATCAGTTTCTCAATCTGAAAAAGAAAACCTTGCAGCCTGCTTATAAAGCTATTTTGAGAGACAGGACAAATACTGGCCCTATATTTTGTTTTACTGTAGAAGGTTAATTTTATGTGGTGCTTGTGAGTCAGGGGATGTGACTTTGTGGAATCCTTGTAATATTGACTAGTGTTACCATGAGATTTCACTCTTTCTAATGTTCTATGGCCCTTTTACATAGCATAACATTTCTTATATAATAGAATTTTATATGATAAAATTCTCAGATGCTAGATAATGATGATAGATGACCATGAATTAGTAGATTGCACTTTTTATATATCTTAATTGTTATTGATTGATTTGACTCAAAATATTGTCTCTAGGAGATACCATTCTTTGTCCATTGAAACTCTGCTTGGTGAGAAAGTTGAACATTTATTATCCAACTCTTATGGGGCAGTTTTTGTAAATATAACATACCACTTAAGTATTTGGTTTCTAGTTGCCTTTTGGTGATGATGGAGGAAGTGGTGGTGGTGGTGATGATGATGATGATGATGATACTGATGATAATATATCATTTAACATCAAAAATAAAGATTTATTACATGTCCCCCTAGATGGCCACCTCTATAACCCAATGCTGGGATTTGTTGCTTCAAAATGAACTGGACATTTAGTACTTTGAAAACATAAATTATTTCTATAATAGTATTTGATAACAGTGCTTTGCAGTTTCCTGACTAAAAAAAAAAAAAGGAGGGGTGATGAGGAATCATTGTAACCTTAGGAAATCTATTATTATTTTATGTTTTGGTCAACATTTAATAAAGACTGTATGTAGAGAAAATATGCCCTATACGACCACTCCCTATAGAAAAGAGGAACGTATAATTATCTTTGAAAATGTTATGCTAGTCTTAGTTTTTACCCTAGAATGTACACATTCATTCTTGTGGTTTAGGTTAAAGGTTGCACTCATCTTATATTAAAATCTTTCCATTTTTGTGTTATTCTAATCCATGAGTAGTTTCTGACATGGTTCTTTTTTATGGTGAATCCTCCTGAAAGAGATACAGTTCTTAAAGTGCATTTCCCTGATATACAAATATGGCACAAGCACTTGAAGCTATATTCCTTGCCCTGAATATTTCCTATTCTCCACTTCATCTGCCTTAAAGATAATAGTAAAGCAAAGAGAGGGGAAAGAGGTTAATCAGGAAGGTTAATACTTCAGTGTTCATTGAGAAATTTTTTAAAGTGAAGAGAGGAAACAAAAAAAATCATTGAGCTTTTATGATTTAGTTTATTCAAGAGATTAGTGATCTTGGGGATGCATTACAAAGCTCTAGAACCTTAATTAAAACTTTTGGCCATACATATTTATTAGTATGACACAAACTAACTAGTTTAAAGGATATGCTTTCACTAAACATTTCTTTTTTCTTTTTTTTTTTTTTTTGAGACGGAGTCTTGCTGAGTCACCCAGGCTGGAGTGCAGTGGCGCGATCTCAGCTCACTGCAAGCTCCGCCTCCCGGGTTCACGCCATTCTCCTGCCTCAGCCTCCCGGAGGCTGGACGTAGCAGGCTGCGCCGGCGCACCCGGCGCCGGCAGGTTTGGTATTTTAGGTAGGAGACGGTTTCACCGTGTTAGCCAGATGGTCTCGATCTCCTGACCTCGTGATCCGCCCGTCTCGGCCTCCCAAAGTGCTGGGATTACAGGCTTGAGCCACCGCGCCCGGCCGCAGCATTTGTTTTCAATTGAAAGCATCTGTAGACTCTGATGTAGTTAAAGATGAACTGGAAGCAGAGACAATTCTACAATGCCACCAAAGCAAAAGATTTTGAATGTGTTTGAAGAGAAAAAATATTATATACCTGATCAAGTCATGCACACCCTCAACCTCCACCACCAAAAGGAGCCATTGGAAATTATGAGACTCAATGTGTTTTTTCAGTCAGTAAAGGCATCCCAGTACTGGTCCCATTGTTTTTTTTTGTTTTGTTTTTGTTTTTGTTTTTAACAAAGGAATAAATCAAATGAACTCTCACCAGAAAGACTGCTGGAATGTTAAAGTTGTTTCTCTAGTCGTGTGTGCGTGGAAAACAAGTTTTGTGTTGTACAATTGCTGCAGGAACTGTTTGCTGTTTCAAGGGCTAATGTTTCCGCTAAAAAACAACTGGCTGCCCTCTTCTGTACTTGAGTGAAAAGATAATGAAAATGCTTTATTTTATTTACAGACAATGCTAATGAGGAAGAGTTGGAAAAGATCAAGTAAGGTAATTCTTAGCTTGTGATCTTTCAGCTTTTCTTGTTGAGAAGAATTATCATCTGCTTTCCCAGATCTCTCTCATCTCTTCAAAGTATGCTACCAGATTTCATACTATGCGATTGTTACTTTTCCCCATAAATTTAAGCAAACCATGTGATGTTTTTTAAATAGAAATCACACTGATCAATAGCTTCAAATCATTCTTTCACTATTTTCTGGTCACTTCTCAACATCATTCTCAGCATCTAGTCTCAACTATATATGCAACAGGGTCTAGAAAATTGCTTTGCGCCAGGAATAAAATGATGAGGCTAGGGGAGGGACAACTCCAGATAGAAGAAAGATTTGCACAATTTATTTTATTTTTGGGGGTCACAGAAAATTGAGTATGAGGCTTTCTAAACTCAGAAATTCCTGTATCATTACATCTTTAGAGTATACAATAAGAACCATTTTTCCCCATTGTCTCTTCTCACTTTAAGAAATAAAGTGAGAGGAGTTTATGGTTCCTGTAACTTACTAAGCCCCAGCTCTTTTGCAACTTGTAAGATATGCAAAATATAAACTAAGTGTTTAATTTGTTCAGTGGTGCTGCCACTGTTGGACACAGATATCAAGATGAAACAACTTTTATGTGAATATACTTTGAAATAAATAAAAAGGATTTTACTTGTAAAAATCTTGTCTCCTCAAATTTCTACTTAGAGTCAGTATTCCTTTTTAATAGTGACTAATTTTTTTAGACCCTGGAACATGACAATCTTTTTCCTTCCATTCTGATTGAATCATGCTTTTACCTAAGCTTTTCTTTAATTTTGTCATTTTTATTACTGTGAATTAATATATATATATATCAAAATGTTTTTATATTTATGGTAATGACTTAATCTATTTGAACAAGTGTCTCTTACTATACATTTTCTTCCTAATTCCTACGGCATTAATGACCAAAGAATAATTTGGCTCACAAAAAAGTCAGGACTCCCATTAAAATGGGAATAAAAATAAAAATAAAACTTTATTATTTTAATAAAATGAAAAACGCTTATTAAGGAAGGTTGCTGAATATTTCTAACTTAATGTTCACTGTGATTTTCACTAATCAAAGTTTCAAGATGTTTTGAAGAAATATTTGCACTGTTCATGTTTGTATTACTCTTTTTCCTTTGTAATTATAAAGTTATTGTTATATTAAAAGTGTATATATTTTTAAATTTACATAATTGGATATATTTGTGTAAAAAACATGACAACCCATCAATATGTAACAATATTCTTTCAGATATATTTAACATGCTAGAGCAAGATATTATATAATATTTAGTATTAATTAATGGGGATAATCCATTTTATTGTATAAAAGGAAGAACAGAAATGAAGATTCTGCCAGGCACAGTGGCTCAGGCCTGTAATCCCAGCACTTTGGGAGGCTGAGGTGGGTGGATTACTTGAGGTCAGGAGTTCAAGACCAGCCTGGCCAACATGGTGAAACCCTGTCTCTACTAAAAATACAAAAATTAGTCAGGCGTGGTGGCATACACCTGTAATCCCAGCTTCTAGGGAGGCTGAGGCAGGAGATGGCTTAAACCCCGGAGGCAGAGGTTGCAGTGAGCAGAGATCATGCCATTTCACTCCAGTCTGGGCAACAGAGTGAGACTCTGTCTCAAAAAAAAAAAAAAAAAAAAGAGGTTGCAGTGAGCAGAGATCATGCCATTTCACTCCAGTCTGGGCAACAGAGTGAGACTCTGTCTCAAAAAAAAAAAAAAAAATTCTTCTTTAAAAATTATATTAAATGTACATTTAAATGTAAATATAATTTTAAACATAAATTAAGTAAAAGTATATCACATACTTTTGTTCCATATATAGAAAATTTAAAATGAATAATAAACATCTATCCTCTACTGTTTTTATATCTAAAATTCTTGGAGTTTATATTTATTATTAGCAATCCATTTATGTATTCAAATGGATACATTTTTCAAGCTTCCAACTGAAGATACAGAATTCCTATGTCTAACAGCACTCGTTTGAGTACTTGGCAGATTATATTTAGTACAGTGTTAGCATAAGCTTTTGGGTTTTAGCCTAAGGGATTTTCAACTTTGAAAAATTTAATGGGGATATTGAATACTAAGTGAAGTAAAATTGGTTAACTCATTTGATTTTTTTTTTCTGTGAGAACATACTGAACACCTGCTAATTCATTCAGTGTGCCCTAAAACATTTGCCATATTCATCCATATTGGTGTTACAAGAGCACAACGTTAAATTCAAAATGGGGGGAAAGTTTGACATTTCAATTACTAGCTAGTCCACCTTCCTTCACACACTCTGCTATGTTGAAACTGCTCCCTGAATCTTCCGTCCAGTAAATTGTGCTTCCTGGGAAACTAAGGGGTAAGGGACTATACCGTGTAGTTTAATAGGTTTTACTGTGTTATTGTTTTATGAAAATGCATCATTTTCTAAATATTTCAATCTTCTTGTAAATTCTCGTCTGAGTACAGATTTTTCGTTTTTTATTTTTGGAAATAGGGTGTAATTTTATTTGCATTACATTTAAATATGGGTATTTCATATATGATATAACTATGTTCAAATTCAAAGGTAAATTTTTCATAAAAACACAGATCATTTTCTTCCTCGGAATCTTGATTTACAGACTAAGGTCTCCTGCATCTTCATGGAAGGGCTTTGGCATGCAGCCTGTCTTTGAGTGTCAGTGGTGAATAGATAATCTAAGAAGTGTAAATTTTGTAGCAAAGGCTTAAAGATAGCCAGTGTTGTTAGAGATTCTCTCCAGTATGGAGTTTTTCTTCCTTTGCTTGGTTTCTTTCAGAAGTGATGTAACTACAGAGGAAGAAAGGCTAAATTGACACAGTTGTTGTTCTTTTAAATACGCCTGTCTCCCCACTATACAATGTGAATCAGCTCATGGAATTTCCCATTCCTTAAGCATCTACTCGTCATTTTCATCATCTTGGCTTTCTGTAATGAAATTTCTTTGCCTATTTTTGTAACCATACTTCTGCTAATAATAGGCTCTTTCAATGGAAATCTTATTACTTGTGGCACTCACATAATGTGGGGTTGCATTTAACTATTGAAATCAAAAGAAGAATCTCCAGCTTGAGGACAGGGAGATCCTAACTGCTGTTCAGGACTAACTTATTATTTTTTGGGGAGGGAGGGTGGGTAATTGTATTACCACTTAGCAATACATAGGAAAAAATGCATCTAAACTTACCTCTGAAAAATAAGAATGTATGAAGTATGCATTATATTTGAATGGCATATAAACAAGTATATAGATATAAATTCCATAATATTTCCTCTTCTAGGGACAGAACCATCCTTTAAAAGACTCATTCTGGTTTTCCACAAGCACACTTTATATTATGCACATTTTGAATTCTGCCCCACACTCAGCTGTTATAGAATTATGTTATTTTAAGAAGAAAGGGACTGATGTCTCCTTAAACTTGGGCAACAGAAGAATTATCCAGGTGAAAGAGTTACTCTTATGTTACAAAAATGTGTTTTAGCAGAGAAATGGTAGTGCTTTGGATTATTGCAATATTTTATTCTTTAGAAGAAACTTCTCACAGATAATTTATTCTAAGGTTAAATTATTCATGAAGAAAGTTTCATGAACTCAAAAGAGATGATTTATATGTATTTTGCGAATACATTTTGTGGGGCGAAGCCAAAAATGGAAAAATGTAATGAAATAATTGGCTCTATCAAACAATAAGCAATTATGATTTTACATTACATTGTGTGTGTGTGTGTGTGTGTGTGTGTGTGTGTGTGTGTTTTAACCTAGAATAATGAATTTACCAATGGGTAAAGGTGAGATAATAATAAACTTATGTGCTTTCAATAAATTACCTCAATTATATGAGAAATATTATTGTGATGATATAAAAACATACACATTGCAATTCATATTCTTGACAATAACAGTTTAGAATTGTTTTTCTTTCAGAAAAGTTCATCCTTTGAATAATATAATACAGACTACTGTGATAGTGTCTGATTATCATATCTTCTGTTACTTGACAGCTTATATCTTTTTTTAATAATACATCTTTTTTAAAGATTTTATTATAACCACTTAGCATAATTTTAATGAACTATAAAACACTTCATTCATTGGTTGAATGAAGCAATTTTTAATAAGACTTTTGGCAAGGAGATCGTTAATTTAAACTAGAGAACACTTTCAACTCCATAAGTCTGCAGGGCGTAGTAGTTAAACCTGACACCTTGGATGACACATTAAAAATGTATCAGCGAAAACTCTAAGTGCTTTAATTTAACTAACGGTGGAGAAACAGATTAACACATCTTTAAGCATCTCACACAGTCAGCTAGACATGATGAAAAAAAGTCATTATTTAGCAACTATCAAGTTCTTTCCACAAAAACTTTATGTCCTGATAATAAATAGGCAATTTTTTTAAAGCGGCAAAAATGAAAACTCTTGGTCATAGACTTTCTCAACTATGAGTGACCAAAATGGCTTTTCTTGGGTGCCATATTTCTAGTCACTATGCATATGTCTTTGAAAAAAAATTATATGCTCGGTGTTTTTGAAGTAAACATAAAATTATTTTAAAAGATTTTTACTTTGCCATTATTTGTACTCCAAAATCTGTATTATTTGGAAATGCTATAAAATCAACCTCATAAGCAAGACTTCTGAGATTCTAAAATGCAGCAATGAACAAATGTAAATAGCAGTGAGTATTTCTATTATCAGAGAATACCTTTTGTCCCCACCTGGTAACCAAGTCCTTAAATTTGTAGTAAGTTTACTTAAAACAGAGATAGTATAATGTCAGTAGATATTTCATTAGCCCCACAAAATACATGGAGCTATAATTAAATTTTATGTTGAGATGGTTTTTCCTTGCTATTTTGACAATATTTCCCCAAAGGCATAAAATAAAATTTTTTATATATTGTAATTCATAGCTACAGGGATTTGCTGTGACAATGGCATTACATTTATTTGACTGCTCTTGTTGGCATAATGTTGTGGATTCTTCTGGAGCACATCTGGATGAGTTGGTACCAAGTGAAAGGACAAAATGTAATCTCAGTGAAAGGATGAATTCCACAGTGCTTGTGTTTCAGGTCTAGGATGTTTATTGGCCTTCACATTGGTGGCATGTGTTACCAAGTGAGTCGGCCAGTTTCTTAAGATCCTTCCTGGACCGATTAAAAGGGGGAGAACTAATATAACTGGGTTCCAGGACAACAGAACTAAGGGCTGCTGTGCAGATTACATGTCCTTTTAATTTAACAAGATAGATAGACGGAAGGATGAATGAACAGATGGATGGATAGACAGATGGACAGTTATTAAATTGAGTGAAACTGGGAGAGATTTGTTGGTCTTAAGGGACCCTAAATGTATACAGTGAAACGATTTATAATTTTGTCAGGATCCTGGCTGCAAAGCCCTAGTTAACATAACAATTGATAAGCTTAGTCAATACCGTGAGGCATCCTTATTGTTAGGATGGAAGCATCCAAGAGCCATGGCTTTGATGAACAGTGATTGCAATCTGACCAGGAAAGTTTATATAAATGATTTGTTTGTGTATTTATTTATTTTTTAATCTCTTAAGTGGCCAAAATAGTATTGATAAAAGGAAATTGAGTTCCTATGAAAGCATGCTTTTGTAATCAGGAATGCTAGCTGACTTGACTCTTACATTTGAATATCAGGCTTCACAATTTCAAATCAATTGTGAAGGTTTTGAGTTTTGAAGAATTGCCAAATTATAATAGTATGTGTTATGTTTAAAGCTCTGTACACGTTAAGACTAATTTTAAAATATCACTTTTTATAAAAACTTCTTGACTAATCCTTATTCCATCTGATAAAAAAGACTTTAAAGATTTCTGTGATTTATGAAGGCTGAAAAAAATCGCATTATATTCATTTATTAGAAAAAAATAAACCATCCTTTAGTTTTATTTCCCTGTGGAAAAAAATTTATTTTCTAGATTTTTTAGTCTAAAATTTGTTTAATATTTAGATTCATAATTAGATTGTTTATCTTTGAGGAGAAATTTTCTTAGTGTATGTTAGATTTTTAGAGGCAAAAACAGAAATAAATAAGATATTCCCAATGCATCTTACTACTTTTATAAATTAGAAATCTTAGTAGAAACAGTTTAACAATTCATCTTTCAGAATAACTTCAATAATTTCCCATTATCAATTGATATTTCTGTTTTTTGTTCTGTTTCCCTTTGCTGGTACTTTATACTTTTAGCAATTTTAAAATGTCACTTTGCCTCACTTAGTCTCTTGTTTTGGTGAAGACTGAAGCGTAACTAAATATCTACATAACTAAATATCTTAATATGCTTTAAGATAAGTTTTCTCTGGAATTCATGAATAGTTTGTGCTCTTTTTCTTGTTCTCTGTAATACAATCACCACTTCTGTTTAGGACTCATTTTGTAATGCCAGGTGTCTTCGTATTGTTGTTGTAGTTGTTGTTATTGTTATTATCATTAGACTCTAGTGAAAGGAAGGCTTTGGCTGGTCTGTTGTAAATGGCAAAGGGGTCCACAAGAAAATTAAATTGCTCCTCTGAAATAAAGGCCTAAATTTGCATGAGAACATGGATTGTAAAATGAAATATAAATTTTAGCTGGTGAATGACAGAAGTAATTAAACATGGCACGAAAAGCACAGCCTGGCAACTTCCGTGGATCTAAATGTGGCTAATATTTTTGTTTCTCAAATTTTAAAGAGAAGCCTAAGTCCTAAATCTTGATCATCATAAATCCCACCTCACCTCCAAAATCTTAACTGCTAACACAAAATCATAGAACAATCAAGGAAGTTGCAAAAGTGCTTCCTCTTTATCACAGTATCAACTATTGATACTTTCCCGTAACTGTCATCAGTTTACTGAAACTTTATCATAACTGACACCTAGAGACAATGCAAAGTTTTAATGTTTATGGGAAGCATGTAATTTAGATATTCTATTTAAAAATGGATAGCTATTTTTTTTATTTCCCAAAGTTGAATTGGTTTCCTTTATAAAAGTCTGAGGATTAAGTAATAAACTATTCTACTTGAATCCACTGCATTGCTTTTAGTCCAATAGCCAACTCTCTCGGTATTCATTTCTTTTTAAAATTATGGTCAGGGAACTTCAGTTAACTAAGTCACTTATTATATTTGTTAATTGTATTATAAAATTTGGATTTTTTTGTAAAAATTTAAACCAAATTTGACTAGGTACATGTTTATAAATAAGATTTCTGCAGTCATTCTTTAAAAATGCTTTGAAGTTCTATGGTTAACACAATTGTTTTGTTAAAAGGAATAAACACCTGCTTTACTTTAAAATCTTAAAATATGCTTAGTCAACTCTCTGTAATAAACCATCAGACTCTATAATATATTAATGAATAATTAAGAATAAAAAGGTAAGTAGACTCTTAAAAAATTACACAAATAATCCTCTCTAAACTTTACTACCACAAAAATTTTAACTTATTCAAGGGAAGAAACTTACAGTTTCTAAATATGCCAAGTATCTTTAGGATATACAATTTTTGGTTTTTTTATTTGCTTTGATTTTATTTGTTTGGATTTACAATACTAATTAAGTATTCTCAAAAATGTCTCAAAATGTAGCTAAATATTTGTTTGTTTTTAGGAACTTTCAGAAAATGAAGTGGTTGGATCTTATTTCTCTGTGAAGTCTCTCTTTTGGAGGGTAATGTCTAAATCCTTTTTGTTAATATTCTTGATTTTTGGTTTTGGATAGCAATTTTGAAAGTTAAATGGCAATTAAGAGTTTCACTTTTTAAGATAGGCTTCCAGATAGATGTATTCATTTGCCTTCTTTATTATCTTCTAAGTCATCTAGGTAACTAACACTTTTATTTCTACACTTGTAAAAATAAAGAACTTCATAAATTGAACATATTTCTTTGAAGTCACTTTATGAAACCAAGTTTATTCCAAATTCTGAGAAGCTAGAGTCTCAGGGACTCTCTGGGAATATAATGGTGCCATCTAGAAGGTCCATGAGGGCTCTTTCTTTCCTCTCATGTAAAATGAGACTAGAATTTTCTGCTCCATTTCTGTTCGAGAAAAATATTTACTTCTGTTACAGTGATCTATACTAGAATTCTGTCCTAGATATATACTAATTAGTGCTCTTTCTTTGAAAAGAAATCCTATAATTTAGAAAACAGCAACTCTTTTGATTTAAATAAAGACAAAATGATGATTCACAGATAACTTGTTTTAAATGTCATTTCAATTTAACTTACTCTTTGATGTTTAAAGCGTAATAGCCTCATAATGACCATCCATTTCTTTCTCTGTTCTAATTCTGCATTATGCACAGCACAATTTATTACTAATGCACTTACTGCTTTCCTTTGAGAATGTTCCTCTTTCTTTGAAAATTCACACTTGGTATATGCTTAATGTAACAATAGACATTGCAACGAAAATGCTACACTCTTAGGGCCTGGCCATTTTCCTTTCTTGGCTCTCAAACTGTTCATGATTGAAAACTATCTTTTTTTCTTTAGAACTTTAGTATTTGCTGTAGTGTCTCTTAAGTAGACTGGCAGGTACCAGATTAAGTCATGTGTTGACCAGTGAGCAAGTATAAGTTACATTTATTCATCCTTACCAGCTTGAATGCACACACACTTTTTTTTTTTGTAGCTTTTTATTGTTGTGAGTTTATTTTAGTAATTACACCCTCTTCATTTACACTGTATGGCTGCCTTCACTGAAGTTACTCTGTACTTTGCTGAAATAATAATTCCTCTTATATGTTCATGCATTGTCCCGGAACACACAGAATTAGTGCTTTTAAATTGTTCCATGACTTTAAATGACGGCTTTATCCAAAAACTATTTCACTGGCCGGGCCCGGTGGCTCATGCCTGTAATCCCAGCACCTTGGGAGGCTGAGGTGGGTGGATCACCTGAGGTCAGGAGTTTGAGACCAGCCTGACCAACAGGGCAAAACCCCGTCTCTACTAAATACAAAAAATTAGCCAGGCATGGTGGCGCATGCATGTAATCCAAGCTACTCGGGAGGCTGAGGCAGGAGAATTGCTTGAACCCAGGAGGAGGAGGTTGTAGTGAGCTAAGATTGTGCCATTGCACGCCAGCCCGGGCAACAAGAGCAAACCTCTGTTTCAAAAAAAAAAAAGGGAAATGGCACACTTCTTCAGAGTAGACTTTGAGGGTGCTCTGGGTTGAACTTGTTCTATGTGCAGCAAATGTGCACACTGGTCATTGTGAATGAAGATTTGTCACCAGGACCAGCTTCATAATTAATAGTTTTTCAAGTGTTTCCCTTTCAAGTGGCGCTCTCAAGATCTTCTTTGCTACTTCCAAGTTTTCCACTTATCAGTACTTTCCATTTGGTTGTTTTCATCCTCAAATATTCTTTAATAACCTTTCTCAATCTCTTGAACTCTTTGATCCTAGAATAACAAATGTGCAACTTTAAAAATAAGCAAACTTTCTTGTATCCAAGGCCTGGTGGTAATGTCTTCTCTGGGCCTATGACAATGAACAGTTGACAAATGACTTGGGTCATACAGGCAGAACCTTTAGGGGTCATCTGTTTTACCAATGAGGAAAGTGAGGCCCATCAAACTGATGTCATTGCCTTGAGGTACCCAGATGGCATGATCAGAAACAATATTTCTCTCTCTCTGAATGCCATACAAATAAATGTTTTGAAGAACTCTGAAGAGCAGTAGAGTCCCTCTTTGAGTTTATGATGAATAAAGATACTTCGTATAAATAAAGCTGTTCCTTAACCTGTTATTTTTGATTGACACTCTTTCAAATTCTTCTTGCATTATTTGACCCTTTTCTTCAGCAGCTGTGTTAGCCACCAATGGATGGATATGTTTAAGAGCCATGAGACTGATGTGTCTGATATGCCATTTACAAAATCAGAAAATCAGTGACCAAGCCTACTTTGTTTGAGTATTGTCTTCCATAGTCACATTCAAAGGTCACTCTGGTAACTAATTGACCCCATTGCTCTTTACCCAAGCAATATTGTTATTCTGATGAACTTTTAGAGGAGATATATATGAAAGGAGGTTATCCAGGGACATTTTCAGATATACAAACTATCTAAATAGCTCAGATAAAATCTTGCATGAAGAGTATATATGTGCTTTGTGGGTTAAGCAGGATGTGATTTAAAATAAATTCCTATCAGAATTTATACAGATCAATACATGTGTCCAAGAGATAGCAACTGATTTACACTGAGTGAAACTACATCCTAGTAAAAACTTGCTCAGCTGGAACATCAGTGCTACTTGCTATATCTTAATTTTCCTGAGAGCAAAATAATGGAAAGAAAAGACTGTGCACAGGGATAGTCTAATTGTCTGAAAGCATAATATTTGTTATTCATCAAAACACTATCTTAGGATAAAAAATATTAAGCGGTGGATATGACAATTACCATGTTTCCCATGAAAACAATAAAAATTATGAGAATCAAGTTAAGTAAAAATTGTATTAAAGACTAACTTCTCACTTAAAGGTGGTAACTTAGTGCAATGTTTTCAAATATTTAGCATGCTTACGTTTCTTTTTAGTTACCTCCATTGAGTGGACTTACAGACTCTGGTAAAAGAATTAATTGGACAAACCACCTTACAAGAACATTGCAGTGAATCAAAGATAAATTTAAATATTTTTTAAGTGGAAAAGGCTGGAACATGCCAAGATACTTCATATAAAAATCAAGAAAAGGGTCACAATGGGCAAAGAAGAGTACCTAGAAAAATATAAAGCAATTTAGAAGTTATGTCAGAGTACCGCCTTCTGGTCAGGTCAAGCAAAAGTGTGTCTGAAGGAAGATTGAAGGCTAAGGAGAAGAGTTATTGACTTTTTAAAACAAGAATGGAATCCTGTACTGAAGCACTTACATGCTGAACAACTCGACCATAGATAACATCCACCCAAGATGATTTCAGGAATTATCCCCATTTTTAAGTATGATGTTATTTATACTCAAAAATATGTGTAACTTTTAATTAACAGTCTCAAAAACAAAAACAAAAAACAAACAAACAAAAAAACACAGGTCTCTATAAGGCAAGCCCAAGACTATTATTCCTTTCCCATATTATTGCTAGAAATTTGTAGATTATTTCAGCAAGCCAAAAAGATTACAATATATATGATGATTTTCTATTTATATGTATTTTCAAACAAATGTAGTAAAAGCTTTAAAACTTTTCTTTGGCCACGATTACAGTTAGAGAGGATAGTTAAAACATCTTAAGTAAACGTAAAGAACTTCTTGGCACCATAAATTGTATCAAGAAGCAATGGAAATATAAAAGAAAGTTTAAGGATTAAAAACCAGCAGAATTTCGCTAAGGATTATGGTGCCAGTAAATCATCTTCTAAGAAAAAAAGGATCAAAGCTTTATTATAAGATGAGACACTTCAGACTGGGCTGGACAAAGCACCGAGAGGGTTTTCTGTAAAAGCAATCCTACCTTGAGAGGATGGATGGATGGCAGAACAAATGCACTTGTTGGACTTCATCATCCAGGTGCAATTCACTCGAATAAACTCAGCAGGAAAAGGAAAAGATAGAACAGGCCTGTGCCTCGGATTGAGCTAATTGCTCCACACTCGTCTTTGCAGCACAAAACAGTCATTCTAGGCTGTCATTATCTCTGCTTTGTAGTGTCTCGGGGATCATTTGATTAAATAAAAGCACATGCACCCTGTGCTGAAAATAGAAGAAAGAGCTGATTCCACACATGGCTTATTGTAAACACATAAGCAATGTCTTTCACTCCCTATTTCAGTGTCTGGGTCTCATTTGGAAGGATTAGGTTGTACAAAGGTAATAAAATCCAGGATAACAAAAGCCAAGGATTATTTGTACCTGTCAGGGAAGGGGATTGGTTTAACTGTGTTCCCTTGGTCTCATATTAAGTCTAAACAGATTTTTTTTTAAATTTTGAACTATTTTTAAATCAAGATCTAGAAAAATAAAATATCTCATTGTTAGTGATCCATCTTTTCAAGGAATGGAATTACTAAACTTTTTAACTAGAACTGGAATATAGAAATGCTCCCAATTTAGATGCGAGATTCTATGACTTCACCACCTTACTAGCAGACATTAAACTATAGTTTCTTATAAAGTGGATAACATATGCTGGGGTTATTACCACCCACCTACTCTTACTTCCTCTAATCCCTTGATTAGCCTTTCTTGATAATCTATAACCAAGGATACATTTCACCTAAGTGACAGGCAAAGTATTTTGAAAACTTCTGTACCAATTAATTTCTTTTGTTGTACCATGAATTTCTTAGTCTCTGTCAAAAAAAGGGAAATATAGGTGGGTGGAGGTGGAAATCATGGATCAGGTCTCAGCAACTCTAGATTCAAATCTCAGCCTTTCCAATCTCTAGTCATTTGGCTTTGAGTGGGGTACTTCTCTATGCCTCAGTTTATTTACCTTAAAATAAGATTCCTGTCATGAAAAACACTGGAGTGTGAAAACAGCAGCATGTAATAGCTGCACAATAAATGTTCCTTTCTTTCTGTGTGATTTAATCCACCTTTCCGACTGCCCTAATCCAGTCTTCTCTTTTGATGTTATTAAGACTGACGACTCTAATCTCATCATAATACTATTGTTAAGAAACTTTCTTTAACTGCTCCAGAAGACCTGTAATATAAACTTTCAGTCCCACCATGATAACTTCCCCCCAGGAGTTCCTGTTCAGCTGTATCTGTCTTAATCCATCTTTTGCTACTCTTTGTCTTGGTAGTGAAGGGATCTTTGAGTTACTTTTTCATAACAAAGGCAGGAAAGGGAGGTGTCATGTGGGACAAAATTTCCCTATTAGTTTAGAGATACTTCTTTAATCATTACAAAAGATTTACATGTGGGATGCAGGGTTAATATGATCTTATTTATTGCCTATTCATATCACATTTATTTTTCTGAAAGCAAATCACTATTCCGACCTTTTGAAGCAGCAGACTTGGAAACAATTATTCTTTTCATGATTTCTCTTGCTATAGTTATTTTCTCTGATACACCTATTAACAAAAACCTGAAATCACTTAATTAGGCTCTATTACTATATAATCTCTGGGCTTCATTTCCTTGACCACTGCAGCATCATTCTACTAAAGAAAATAGTGGCTGGAAATTTAGAGTTGCATTGACATTTATCTTCATTGTGCTATAAGACATTTTCTGACAGTGACTTGAGAAGCAAATACAAATTTTCTCAAATAATGTTTTCTGAAGAGTAATTCAAACTGCTGATCAAAATGAGGGGTTGAGAATGGTACAAACCTTCCCCATACAGCTCTGATCATTCATTTCCATCCAGACGTGCGGCAGGCCAGCTCTTCCTGTCCTGGGCTTCTGCAAAGCAGAGCTTCAGAGTCCTTATTGCAAAAATGCACAAGTAAGTTCAACCATTCAGTTCATTTATTTTCTTCTGAGCTTGCATGAGCTGTGATTTCTGAGAGCCAACTTACTGTACTGAAAACCCATTCCCTATACTAACCTATTTTGTACATAGGAAAAGGAATTGTAATCTTAATTTTTTTTCAAGGAATAATATAACTAACACTTTCTTTAAATTGCCAGCTCATTTGTTCTAAAATCTTACTAAAGATACCTGTTATGGACTAATTGCTTCATGCTTTGAAATCTGTATTGTTAACTGGTATCTTGATATTCTTTATTAATTATGAACTTGGATGAATATTCTTATGAAAGTGGATCCTAAACTTTGGATGGGTGAGAATCACATTGGGCATGTGCTGAAATACAGACACGGCTCTACTCCATAAGAACTGAGTCACATCTCAGAGAATCATGCAATTCCAGCAAATTGACTGCTAGAATTTGAGAACAACTACCTTACAAGTTCAAGGATTATTCTTTCCTTTTAAGGGCTTTGTTTTTGTTCTTTGCTTTGAAGAACTAGGTTGGTTTTTTTCTTTTTAGTCTTCTTGCCTTTTTTCTTGTCCCCCTCAACAAGACTTCTAATTCAACAAGGACCTAGTTGAGAGCATTACCTTAGAAAACTAAGTACCAACTGCAATATGCAAATTTTATTGAATGTTATTTTGGATTTGTTTAATACTCTTTGCCCTTTAGGTGCTCAATAAGTGATTTTGGTGGACTATCAACACTTCAATAAATATGTGTTATTTAAATATATTTATGAGAAAAATAACAAAGGAAGAAAAGAAGCACAGCTTTTCATAATTGTTCAGTAGGGTCCTGCTTCTCTTTTTAAATACCCTAGATATCTAGACCAATATGTTTCCTAATCAGAACTAAAAAAGAACTTTAAATAGTATAAATAATATTAATGTTAATTTTTACAATTGTATTAATAGTTATTAGAACATAGAGAAGCCAGTGTGCATGCTCCACATAACTTTCAAGCAAGGATTCTCACACTTGAGTGTGTATCAGAATCACCTGGCGGGCTGGTTAAACCAGAATGCCTGGCTCCACTCCCAGAGTTTCTGATGCTGTTAGTCTGGATGGGGTCAGAGGATTCTAGTTTCTAAAAAGTTCCCAGGTGACATCAATGCCACTGGTCTGTGAACCACATATTTGAGAGATTTACTGTACAGAGGAAGGAAACTTTTTAAACAGAGCAGCAAGTGACTCCGAAGATACCTTGGAGAGCATCAGAATTCCATAGTTTGCAAAGTTTCTTTTTGCTGTGGTATTCTGCCCATCCTCACGCCTTCAATGAGCTCCCCAGAACTTTGATTTTACAAATAAGTAAGAGTAATAAATGACTATCTTGAGCAAGCTAAATCTTCATTGTTGATGGAGTGTACTTCTTTCTCTGTAGGCCCCTGAACACACAACCTCCCTCCACCCGTAGATACACACAGAAAAGGGTTGTTAGTACACTTGGGGCCCTGGAGTACAGTCTTGACAAATCAAAGATAAGAAAATTGAGTCCCAGAGAGAGAGATAAACATGCCCAAGTTATATAGCCAGAAATTGCTAGGAATATGTGAGTGAACATTTATGTTCCATGCTTCTCTCTTCTGCTTTTGATAGCCTATGTTTATATCTTTTACCTTTACCTGTAATTTTATTTCAAGTCTTACTTCTTCATGCATAGACTAAATAAATTTAACAGTTTCATGACTATGCAGTTGCTCAATAAAATCTACAGTTGAATTATGGAGTTTCTTGGTAGAGAAGTACCATTTTGAACAAAAATTATTGAAGAAGAAAACATCACTGAAAAAATATCTGATTAGAATATCTTTGAAACTTTTTTATTTCTTCTTCTCAGCCTTATGCACAGGTCCCCATAATTACCATACCCATTAGCCCTGTTTTTATGAAGAAATGTTCTCCTTCTTCCTCCCACTTAGCTCCCCAAGTTGTTTTGGAAATGTTCTTCTGGGTTATAGAACAGCATTTCACAGCAACTAATAGCAGTAGGTAAAGTCTCTATTATGTTCATTTTATTTCTGTGAAAGCATAAAGGACCCCATGGAAAATGGAATCTTTTGTCCTCCTGTGAGCTTTACATGAGAATATGAACTTGACTTACAGAGTGAAAATAACTTTTCTCTCCCTCACTCTGTAAGTCAAGTTCATGTTCTCATGTTAAAAAAAAATGATAGGCTGGGCGCGGTGGCTCACGCCTATAATCCCAGCACTTTGGGAGGCCGAGACGGGCGGATCATGAGGTCAGGAGATCGAGACCATCCTGGCTAACACGGTGAAACCCCGTCTCTACTAAAAATACATTTAAAAAAAATTAGCTGGGTGTGGTGGCGGGCGCCTGTAGTCCCAGCTACACGGGAGGCTGAGGCAGGAGAATGGTGTGAACCCGGGAAGCGGAGCTTGCAGTGAGTGGAGATCACGCCACTGCACCCCAGCCTGGGCGATAGAGCAAGACTCCGTCTCAAAAAAAAAAAAAAAAAATAATAATAATAATAATAAAAATAAAAACCAGAAAACAAAATGAAAGGAGGATCAAGCAAGAAAAGCACTATTTTAGACATGGCACTATTAAAGAAACTTACTTCGCCTTGCTAATTGAAGACACTGTGTAACCTAACTTGTACCCAACTACTATTTGACTGCTTCTACAGAGCACATAGAAAAATGGCATTAAGTATATTCTTCAACAAGCTGAAATATTATAGATATAAACACATGTGGTCATATAATAGAAAAGTAAAAGGCAGTTTCATAAATTAGCCATGTGCTCACCACTTAACTGGAGAGTATCCTTTGAAAACATTTTGTTTAAATCATGATTACCTTTTAACCTATGAGAGAATCTCCACCCTAAACACTTGTATTGGGGAAGCTCAGGAATAAAGATGAGAAATATTGGGGTTCTAGTCACACATCTACCATTTATGAGCACAACCACTCTGAGTTCCATCAGTAAAATGGGGCTAAGAAGCCTTGCCTTCTGACCTCATGGGGTTTTTGTGGGAACCAAACGTTGTGATATAGACGAGTACATTTTTAAATTCTAAAGCTCTGTATTAGTTGGCAGCTATTAACTCCTTGATCTTTTCTAAAATAATTACTTCTTCTTGCTTGCTACAACATTTGTTTTCTTTGGTTCCTTCTTTGCTACTCATGTTCCTTAAAAAAGTTTCCAGTCCAAAGTTTAAAACCCGATTCCCTAGAGTCTGCTGTTAGAGGCAGTCTCAACAGCAGCAGAAATGGTCAGACCAAGCAGTCATACACCAAAATCTACGACTGGATTATATAATAATAAGTTGCATGAAATCTTAGAACTAAAACAAAGACCTTAGCCATAACTGGGTGCAACAAATTCTAAACAATTACTTTCATCTGAGAAATCCTCTGTTCATCAAAATCCAATGTGGAAATTCAATATATGGAACAGACGGGAGCAGTGGGGCTCCAGCTGAAGAGGGCATGGAGTTCTGCAGAACTTGTAGGTTCTCCATGAATTCTCCTTTACACTTCAGATCACATTTGAATGCTGCTTTTGAAGCTCACAGGGATGAAGAGTGTGTAGACAAAGGTCTGCATTGATATTCATAGGGCAGAGCCACCAGGCAAGGTTCAAAATGTGCTGTGTTCAACAACGCAGGAAAATATGCAATGGGATTTTCAAAGATTTTCATTGAAATGTTCAAGTATTAGAAGTATTATCTTTTGGAGAATGTAGTTTTCATTTTCCTAATAGAAGCACTGTGAAATGATGACGATAAAAATACCGATGGCGTTGCTCTGGTATGGAAAAAGGTAGGAAGTCAAAGTGGGAGGGAGAGTTATACAAAATAGACTGTAACTTTGTAACATTAATGTAGACAGGATTAGGTAGAAAGTAATGCTAATCCATAATTTAGAAGTGTACTTTGAGGTTGAGAGGAACGTCGAATTTCTTCATGAAATGACTATAAGTAGAAAAAATATGTTTGATAATATGAAAGAAACCATTTTTATAGGACTGCTTGATGTTGAATCCAGATTGAAGATGTTTTCACATTTAGTTACTTTCTATGGCTTGTTTTATGTCCTTTTTAGTTTAAAGAGATTATATGGCCATTTTTAGTAGACTTGCCAATTTTAATAAAAGTCTAAGCCAGGTGTGGTGGCTCATGCCTATAATCCCAGCACTTTGGGAGTCTGAGGCAGGAGGATCACTTGAAGCTAGGAGTTCAAAGCTGCAGTGAGCTATGATCACGCCACTGCACTCCAGCCTGGTCAAGCAAGCAAGACCCTTTCTCTAAAAACAAAACCAAACAAATGAAATGAAAATAAACACTAAAAATTAGCTGGGTGCAGTAGTGCATGCCTGAGGCTGCTACTTGGGAGGCTGATATAGGAGGATCACTTGAGCCCAAGAGTTTGAGGTTATAGTCAACTATGCACACCCCTGCACTCCAGCCTGAGTGACAGAGCAAGACTCTGTTTCTAAACAAACAAACAAAAAAAAGCATATTAAAAGTAATTAAAGAAAACGTTCAGATACTAAAATGTAAAATAAATCCAGAAACATACTTGCCAATATAAATCACAGTGTAACTTTAAACATTTTAAATATTTGTGATGAAAGTTTTAGGTATAAGCAAGACATCTTAGATGGGCGTATTGATTTTGTTTTCTATTTTGTGGTAACTTAAATTGTCCTTTAGTAATCTGAAGCTCAATAATCTCCAAATGTGGCAAGAAAGAAGTTTTTAAACTAACTGAATAGCACTTGCAACTAATCTTCCAATTAAAAACCACCCCTAAAATATGTTTATAACATAAACAAAGAGATCTTCAAAAACCACAAATAATTTAAAAATTAAATACCACAGTATGAATGAGGCCTTTGATATTTCTAACATTTATTGTATATATATTTTGGTATAAGCCTATTTGGCACACATGCAAATATTCTCTGATATTCTTGAAGTATCTACATCATGTAATTTTAAGAATTGAAAAGCTAGGCTGTATTTTGAACACTCAATTCTTTTACCTAACAAATTTATCATGAGATGATAATTTCATAATTTATTAATTTTATAATTAACAAACAATAATTCATAATTATTTTAATTTTAAAAATTATAATTGTCTATCCTTTATTTTTTGAAGAATCATAACAGGAGAAAAGGTAATGCCAAAATGAGGTATTTGGGTTTAAAACACAGTAACCTAACTCAATTTCATTTGCCAAAAGTTTCAGACCCAAAGTTTACGCCTATCAGACCTACACAGAAAATCACATCTTTGGAGAGGAATAGTCAGCATCACCTTGATTGAAGGGAGAGACCTCAAGGCCATGGATTCCAATGGGTTGAGCGATCCCTACGTGAAGTTCCGGCTTGGGCATCAGAAGTACAAGAGCAAGGTAACCATATCTCTGTTGTGTTCCTGTCAATATTTGGAAGGCGTTGATTGGTTAATAGCCCTGGTTTAGGAGATGAAACCACTAGATAATTTTTTAAATGCTTAACAAACTTTTTTAAACAACATGTCAGCAAACAAGACCAATAATTGTATAGCACTTTTTCATTCAGGTACTAGGTGACCTCACGTAAACTACTTGTCTGTGTCCCAATTTCTTCATCTACAACATAGGAATAATAGTTGGAACTATCTCCTGGCATAGCTCTGAGGATTAAAACAGTAACAGCCACCCAGAAAACATATAGTTCATGCCTGGCACATAAAGTACTCAGAGTGTGGCTTTTTTTTTTTCTTTTATTTTGATGGAGTCTCGCTCTGTCACCAGGCTGGAGCATGGAGTGCAGTGGCACGATCTTGGCTCACTGCAACTTCCGCCTACTGGGTTCAAGCAATTCTTCTGTCTCAGCCTCCCGAGTAGCTGGGACTGCAGGTGTGCACCACCACGCCCAGCTAATTTTTGTATTCTTAGTAGAGACAGCATTTCACTATGTTGCCCAGAATGGTCTCAATCTCCTGACCTCGTGATCCACCCGCCTTGGCCTCCCAAGAGTGTAGCTTTTAACATTATTACAACTAGTGCTAATATCAGGATTACAAATAGCATTCTTTACATGCCATAAAAATCTTCATACATTACTCTTAGAGACTTTATCCAACCTGAATTGTACCAATGCAAATAGCAAATTTTAAAATTTATTAGAACAAATTGCTTTGTCTCTCCATATCTTAGTTTTCCCATCTGTAAAAATGAGAGTTAAAATAATGCCTACCTAACAGAGTTACTGAGATTAAATGAATATACGTTAGTTATGCATTTAAAGGGCTTAGAATACTTCCTTGTCCATAATGACTCAGCAAATGAAAATAGCAGAAGAGGAAGAGTAACAACAGTAGTAAGAAAGATATCATATAGTATCAATTATATTAGCAGTAATAATATATTAAACAATAATATTAGTGATATAAGTAATAATGAATAAGGGTCTAGTACTCATAGCTATATTTTTGGCACATATCTTATGTATTAGTTCATTCTCACACTTCTATAAAGAACTACCTGAGACTGGGTAACTTATGAAGAAAAGAGGTTTAACTGACTCACAGTTCTGCAAGCTGTACAGGAAGCATGGCTGGGAGGCCTCAGGAAACTTACAATCATGGCAGAAGGCAAAGTGGAATCAAGCATGTCTTTCTATGGCAGAGCGAGAGAGAGTGAAAAGGGAAGCGCCACACACCTTTAAACAACCAGATGTTGTGAGAACGCATTCACTATCGTGAGAACAGCAAGGGAGAATCCAGCCCCGTGATTCAGTCATCTCCCACTAGGCCCCTCCTCCAACATGTGGGGATTGCAATACAACATGAGATTTTGGTTGATACACAGAACCAAACCATATCATCTTATCTCTGTTGTAATGAACCATGTCCTCTTCATTGGTCAGTTTTTACAGCTGTTATTCATAGACAGCTTAGGACAACTGATCATATCCATCTTGTATTAAAGATCACATTCCATTCCGATGGGCATTTATTCACCTTAGTGTCATAATTTCTATAGATTTTTGATAAACAGCCTGCTTAGGTCCCTTCCAGCCCAGGAAGTTTTCACTAGTACTTGAGGTAGTTTAGAAATATCACAGAGCCCATCATTAGCAGGCAGTGAGTACTGCTAGCAGGCTGGCTGGAGTGCCCACATGGAAAGGGAAGGCATTATATCTGACCTGAAGGAAATCATATAGGGAAGGCAATCCTAAAAGAGAAAAATGGAAATTTAGTCTGTTTAAGGCCAGATAAGTAAAGACAGACCACACCCCAAAATACCATAGGAGTTCATCTGAGCCTGATTATAAGACATTTAAATTATCATAGCCTTCATTCAGTGCCACTTTTTTTTCTGCCATGGGGCTTAATAACATATATTAAAGTAGCTACTGATTCCAAAAATAGGTACCTATGACCACTTCTGTCTTGTCCTTTCTTAGTTAGCACCATTTCCATGTTCTACTAGGCTTCAAACATTACTTATTTTTATAGTTCTGCTCTTTAGGTATGAAATATGAAACCCAGCAATGGACATGTGTCTCTCTTTGCTCTTTCTTTCCTTGATCTATTGCTGATTAATTTCAGATTATGAACTTTAAAAATTGTGATTCATTTGCATTACCTTTGCATATAACATACTTCATTGCTTTCAAACTTTACATCTGAAGATCTGTCTGTCATACATTAAAAAGAGAAAAGGCCACTTCATGCCTTCCTGCTAAAAAGAAAGAACAAGGAAACAAATATGAATGTTGTTTAACCCAGTGGTGAATGGAATTTTAAAATTCCATTCCTATCAATATAGGTTACTTTGTTCATTGATTCTACTGTACAAGATGACTTATCTGAATACTTGAAGTCACAGAATTACATTTCAGATATCTTTCTTGTATATGCAACACAAAGAGTATATCCACATATATGTATGCATACATATATACTCATGTATATTCATTTATTATTTCGCAAACATTTTTCGCATATGGTTTTGGGGGAAGAGTCCTGAAGCTTTTTTTTTTTTTTTTTGAGACAGAGTCTCGCTCTGTCGCCAGGCTGGAGTGCAGTGGCACAATCTTGGCTCACTGCAACCTCCGCCTCCCAGGTTCAAGCAATTCTCCTGCCTCAGCCTCCCCAGTAGCTGGGACTACAGGCAAGTGCCATCATGCCCAGCTAATTTTTGTACTTTTAATAGAGATGGGGTTGCACCATGTTGGCCAGAATGGTCTTGATCTCTTGACCTCGTGATCCGCCCGCCTTGGCCTCACAAAGTGCTGGGATTACAGGCGTGAGTCAGCGTACCCAGCCGAGTTCTGAAGCTTTAATCAAAGACTTTGAGTTAGTGTCTAAATGCTAAAACATACTGACCTTAGGTGTGTCACTTAAACTCTAGGTCTCAGGTTATCCATCTATAACATGAGATACTACATCAGTGCTGTAAGTCTAAGATAAAAGTTTGACCACCCAAAAGCTACTTGCTTTTTTGTCCTACTCTCACAGAAATTCACTGTGTGTTTTTCATGTACTCAAGTCAGGATTCCAATGTGTATGGCAAGTAAGAAAAAAAACACTCTGAAAATCCTCATCCTCTTTTATTATGAGATGACTGACTATGAGTTATATTTTAATGTATTAACTATCATTATGTAAAATATTGCTAGTATCCGAGTGAGCTATTTCTTTCATAGATTATTACCTCTTATACATAGTTTATATATCTTATCTGCTACTTAAGATAATCAAAGGATATCTTTTGATTTTCAGTACACATCCATTAAGGTCCATTCAGGTACTACTCAGTAAGGATGCTGGAGATCGAATGAGTCATTTCCATTATTTCTGTAATCTTTTTTTCAAATAGCACACAGCATGCTTTTCTAGATACTATAGTACCAAAAGTTTGATTTAGTATCTCAGGTTGAAGTTTTTTTTTTTTTTTAAAGCTGCTAGCAATGTGACAATAATGATTTTTTTTTCCAGATTATGCCAAAAACGTTGAATCCTCAGTGGAGGGAACAATTTGATTTTCACCTTTATGAAGAAAGAGGAGGAATCATTGATATCACTGCATGGGACAAAGATGCTGGGAAAAGGGATGATTTTATTGGCAGGTTTGTGCAATTTGTAACTTTTGGTTCACCCCTAGAGCATTTTTATTAAAAGAATATTTGCTGTAAGCCTGTTATTGTAAATGATCTTTACCGTTTTGAAGAAGGGGACTTTACCATGGTAGGGCAATGCTTGGATGAACTGAAAAATAGATTCAAAAATTGACCAGTAGGTGGCGGTTTTGACCAGTTGATGGACACAGGCTATCTGAATTTGATATCCTTGAATTTTCTCCAGATGTCAAAGTTATGGGAGTTGAAAAAGAGGAATGTCATTTGATATAAGATACATAAAGGAACAAAGAGCATATTCATAGTCTGTAAAGTGATCTAAGATAATATTTATTTTCATAAAGCATACTATCACCATAAAATACATTATTTTCTACAGCGCCCTACAAAGTAGACAATACTTGTAATCTCTTTGGAGTTCATAAATCCATAAAGAGTTCTCAAGTTTTAGTGTAGGAAGCATGTAAGTGAGGCAGATCCATGTTAATCTGATAACACAGTAAAGAAAGGAGTATTTTGAGGCTTACATGACATTTTTCCACAAAGTCAGGGTTATTTTGAGTGACCACTTGAATCATAGGAATTGTTTCCTTATTTTAAAGCCTATGTTTATATTTTTTGATAGTTATATATGTGTCTTTGAAGCAAAACACATTGAAACATGCCAATATTGAAATAAAGTGTGGTGTACCAAAAAATTTGTTAATTTTTAAAATTAAAAAAAAATTCTTTCCTCACTGTAGCTTACATGAAATTCTAAGTCTTTAAACATACAGCCTGAAGAAAATGTATACATCCTAAGAGTAAAATAAATTATACTCTGGAAAAGTAAGAACAGGAATCCAGTCCAACATATTTATCTCTTGATTTTTTTATGATGCAGTTATATATGTATCGTCGTCTTCATAGGATTATATAGTGAGCGATCAAAAATGAGCTTCAGACAGCCTTTACTATTTTACTTGTAAAGTGAACCTGGAAAACACCACCATAATCTAATGCTACATTACATTTCAAGCCTTTTTAAAGCACAGGCCTTTATTGCACATGTTTTCCCCTTAATTAAAACACTATTTTCAGAGTTTTCTTAAAGTTTTGTCTTGTTCTCTTTGGGATATACCACATCTGTTAATACATTAAATGCATTTCATTATAATTATATATCTAAGATTCTGTCTCCCTCAATAGGCCATGAGCTCTTTCGAGCAGGTACTATGTAGCTATTTCTCAAATGATGAGTTCATTTTCTTTGGTTATAATAACATTAGTTATATTTGGTGACCACAAGTTAATCAGAATGATGGGCATGTGTAACTTGCTACCTCTACCTTATTTCTTTGTATTCAAACTTTCTTATCTTGGTAAAATAATGAAGATTATGCTGTAAATATACTGTCTTCCTGTATATCTATGTATATATTACATTCCTTCATATCCCTTCTTCTATTTTTTTGTATAATGACAGATGTTCTTTTATATATTTTTTTCCTTTGGTAAGAATTTTCCAATTTAAAAACTGAAAATTTCTCAGGCCAATTGGGACTGATCATTTTCTTTTCCTCACTTAATAACATTATGAGTTCTTCAAGGGCAGACATGGTTGACAGAGAGGTGGACCTAACTATCTCACTTCACCTTGTTCCTAAAGGTTTTTCATATTTTGGCTAATTTTTGAGAAAACGTGACAAATTGCTGGATGGAAGATCAGAGGGATTGTTCCAGATACCTGTGGAGGCTTGAAAAAGAGAAGTCTATTTTCGGTCATATACCAAACTTAATTGCCTATGAAAGCAATTTAAGCCCAAAAGGCTAGAGTGAAATGAGCACAGGTATAGACAAGACAGCTCTGGAGTAGTGGTTTATACTGGTTTACACAATGAAAGGAATGAGTGTTGAATTTTGAGGTACTGAAAGATGGACAATAGAAACATGTTGCACACTCCTAAATTAGCAAGGTTGCCTTTTGCAGAAATAACTGTGATGCATCATCATTTCAAATCTTTTTGACATCCAGATAGCACTGAAAACTCTAGGTCTGTAACTTGACGCTTGTTAAATTGCTCTTTAAAAGCATCCTGCCACTGAAAAGCAACATATTATTATACCTAAGTATCAGGCAACTGTGTTTATTTATTTGAAACTTTCATGGAAACAGTGGAGATAATACAGATTATAATAGAATTACTTAATTCCTAGAATAGTTTCAAAGACAATTGACTTACTTTCCAATTAAATTTGAGTACTCCGGGTAAAGTAACAGTCATAAAACTGTCATCATAATCTTCTGTCCTCTTTTGCAAGCTCTCACTGCAACATTCTGTGTCTGTGTTAATTTTGAAAGTAGAGACTATTCTAGGAATTTGCTGGAGGCTTGTGAGTAAGTTTAAAGTTGGCCATACAGGGTGATACTATTCCTTTGATGGCTAGTAACATTTTTTAAGGGTACTGTCTAAACTGAGTCCCAAATTTGAGAACACTTGTATGGATTACATTATCTATATAAACGAGTTTATTATACTATGGTTTATAATTGTCTATTTTATTTTCCATTTTTGGTGATATATAATGATTTTTATAATACATTTTGTAAATGCAAACTCAATAACAGAGTTTGTTTGTTTCATAATATTTAATAAGAACAAGAGTGGCTATGAATGAAAGAGCCACTTGCAAATCTGGAGTGTCAAAGAGTTAAAACTATTTTAGTACTGAACTTTACCCACTTCCATTCCTTAGTTTTTGTTTTTATTTTTGAGACAGGGTCTGGATCTGTCATCCAGGCTGGAGTGCAGTGGTGTGATCTCGGCTCACTGCAACCTCCACCTCCTGGGCTCAAGCAATCCTCCCACCTCAGCCTCCTGAGTAGCTGGGACCACAGGCATGCACCACCATGACTGGCTAATTTTTGTAATTTTGGTCGAGGCAGCGTTTTGCCATGCTGCCAAGGCTGGTCTCAAACACCTAAACTCAAACAATCCACTGGCGTCGGCCTCCTAAAGTGCTGGGATTAACAGGTGTGAGCCATTGCGCCCAGCTCCAACTTCCATTCTTACTTGAACTAATATAGTCAGGCATTTGCCCCTAGCAATCCGCCAAAACTGCTCCTGTCAATGTCACCCAAGCCCACCACGTTGTTCAATTCAATGACCAGTTTTCAACCTTCGTCTAACCTGCCCCAGCAGTGCTGTATTTAGCTGACCGCTTCCTTACTTTGAAACACATTTTTCACTTGCCTCCCAGGACAACGCATACTCCTTGTTTTTTTCTTACCTCACTGCATACTCCTTCTTGTCTCCTTTGCAGGTGTTTCCTCATCCCCTCATGTAGTTCTAGAAAGCCTCAGAGCTCACTCTTTGGGCATCTTCTTCATCTGTACTGGCTCCCATGGTGACTTCATCCATTCACAAGAGCCCAGCTCCACTCCATAACTCTTCTCTGCATTCTAGATTCCTGTATTGCACTGCCTGCTTGATATCACTATGTGAAAGTCTAATAGGTTTCTCCAGTTTAGAATGTGCAAAGCTAAACTTCTAACCTCCAGTCCCACACCTCTTTCTGACTTCTGCTCTTCCTTTAGGCTTCTCTTATTTGTCGCTAACACCAAAAATCGTGGAACCATGTTTGATTCCTTTCTTTCTCTCACTCTCATCAAATCAATCAGCAACCTGATAATTTTTCTTCAAAACATATTGAGGATTCTCGGCCTCTCATCATCTCTATCATTATCATTGTGGTCGAAGCCACCATCAACTTTCTTATGGACAATAGCACCAGCCTCCTGTTCTTCCTTCCACACTTCCCCTCCCACAACAGTCTGTTTCCAATTAGCAGCCAGAGTAATATTTCTAAAACAAAAATGAAGTAACTTAACTCCTCTGTTCCAAACCCTTTAATTGTTTTGCATTGTAATCTAGGGAAAACCGAAGTCCCTTCAGTGGCCTATAAGACTTTGCACAATCTGGCCTTGTTGCTTGTCTACCATGAACTTCTGCTATTCTGCCTCTCCCCGTCCTTCACTCACTTTCAGCCAGCTGGCCTCTCTGCTGTTCCTCAAGGCATACCAGACACCCTCCCATCTCAGGACCTTTCCCTCTATCTAACTTTCTTCAGGGATCCACTCACCTGCCTTGCTTCTTCATCTTCTTTAGATCTGTGCACCAATGTCTCATCAGGGAGGTATCCATACCAAGCCTATTTAAAATTGAACCTGCTTTTCTTGGCATCCCATTCCGCTATTCTGCTCTGTTTTTCTCCATTAAAGCAGCCACCATATGGCAAACTATGCATCTCATTTATGTTATCATTTATTTTCCCTCATTAGAAGGTAAGCTCCACAAGGGCAGGGATTTTTTGAGTGTTTTGTTCACTGCAACATACTCCATACCTAAGCAAGTATCTGGCACCAAGCACGCAGCAAATTATTTCCTGGGTTTGAATATAAATCCCTGAAGCTTGATTTAACACTGGAAATTATGGTTCTTTGTCAGACAAATGCTGATCTGACACCAGGCATTAATTGAAAGACAATTAGAACAACATGACTTAGTTGAAGGTAAGAAAGTTTCAGTGTAATTGTGGAAAGATGATTGAATATAATGCAAAAGAGAATAATGAATTAGTTAAAGTATAAAAGTGTCTGAACAATCTTTATACTTTAGTAATAATAAATGGCCATGTTTGGGGAAAAAGTAGGCTGTACATTTACCAAGACACTTACTGTAACTTTTCATCATCATGATATCTACAGAGCTATCTGGTTGTAAAACTTTACACAAAAGTAAATTTACCATAAATGGAAAGAAACAATAATAATAATGCTTTACAACCTACAGGGCCCTATTATACACATTAGCTCAACACTCTGGGGTAGCAGGGATGGTTCATATTGTACCAGTTTTGCATATGCAAATAGTGAGGCTGAGGGCAGTGAAGAGGTTGCTCAGCCAGTGGGGTGATTGATCTGAGGCTCAAATCCAGAGTTTCCTTACTCT